TCTTTGAGATTTGATTATTCTGCCTGTTATGGAAACTATAAGTCAATTAAGACAAAGAGATTTCAGAAGCATGTTGCAAATTGCATGTTGTGTTAGGAATTTATTTACCATGAAGTAAAGATTTCAGAAGACATGGTAGAAAAGTTTGAGAGGAGTAATAAAATTGGGCCAGAATGTGATTTTAGTATTCATATGATCGCCAATAGAAATAACCTTTCTGAACTTGTTCATTTCATGATTCATTCAATGGAAATGTTAAATGTGTTATGAAAAAAGATTGACAGGTTAAAAATGGGATATTTTTCAGTATGTTCATAAAAGAGGAAAACTTCCAAGTTTGATTAGCCTTAACTATACACTTATTTTTAAACAATGTCATGAAGCATTGATTTATTAGTTTGATACAAAAGTAATTGCAGTTTCAGATTGTGAATTTTAAATTATGAAATGTAGGCTCAAACTCATCTTTATTAATCAAAATTGGAACCATTAGAATCAATACATTTTTGTCAGCGAGAAATAAATTTGTGTATTCCAGTAGCATAAAAATTCATGCTTTGGGATTCTATGAACTCTCAGAAAGTATTTTCTGCATCCTGTTGGTTGTGGAAGCACTGTCCCTTCAAACAGTTGTTGAGATGCTTAAAGAAGCGGTAGTCAGTTGGTGAGAGGTCAAGTGAATATGGCAGATGAGGCAAAACTTCATAGCTCAATTTGTTCAACTTCTGAAGCATTGGTTGTGTGACATGCAGTCAGGTGTTGTCATCAGGAGGAACTGGGCCCTTTCTGTTGACCAGGCTGCAGGCATTGCAGTTTTCAGTCCATCTCATTTATTTGCTGAGCGTGCTTCTCAGATGTAATGGTTTCACCAGATTTCAGAAAGCTGTAGTGGATCAGACCACCAAACAGTGACCATGCCCATTTTTTGGTGCAAGTATGGCTTTAGGAGGTGCCTTGGAGATTCTTCTTGGTCCAGCCACTGAGTTGGTCATCAATGGTTGTCACATACAATCCACTTTTTGTCACATGTCACAATCTGATTGAGAAATGGTTTGTTGTTGTTGTATAAGAGAAGATGACACTTCCAAATGACAATTTAAAAAAAATTTTGATCAGCTCATGAGACACCCATTTATCAAACTTTTTCACCTTTTCAATTTGCTTCAAATGGTGAATGACCATAGAATGGTCAATGTTGAGTTCTTCGGCAACTCCTCATGTAGTTTTAAGAGGATCAGCTTCAATGATTGCTCTCAATTGGTCATTGTCAACTTCCAATGGCCAGCCACTATGCTCCTCATCTTCAAGGCTCTCGTTTCCTTTGCAAAACTTCTTGAACCACCACTGCACTGTACATTCATTAGCAGTTCCTGGGTCAAATGTGTTGTTGATGTTGCCAATTGTCTCCGCTGCTTTATGACCCATTTTGAACTTGAATAAGAAAATCACTCAAATTTGCTTTTTGTCTAACATCATTTTCATAGTATAAAATAAATATAAAATTAACAGCAAGTAATGTCATTAGCAAAAAAAAAATAAAGTAAGAAATGCACATTAAAATGATATATATCATGACCACATTTAATAATGCATTCCAATATAAAATGGCAAATATCAACAGTGCAAAAACCGAAATTACTTTTGCACAAACCTAGTCAGTGAAAATTATAAGCGAGAGTTTTGAGTTCTTATTCTCGTATTGTCTTCTTTTGTTTAACTGCTCAAAACTATAAATTAAACTACCTTAAGGTATTATTGCACACTGTGTGCTTAAATAATATTTATCAAGGTCACTCACACATTTGTCACAGGCATCTGAAAGGTTGTGATGAAACTACTACTTGTATTAAGGAACATGGCTGGGCTCAAAATAATAACAAAGTGAAGCTTCTTTTGATCATAGACATACTTGAATCCCAAGTCGCTCATATGAGAAATGTCAGCCCTTTACTAGCTTTTTCCAAATCAGATGTTATTTAGTAAAAACATCATAGTGGCCCTTGATAAAGAAAAAAAATGACTAATATATTATTGTTGTAACTTTATTTCATTAGGTAACTCAAAAATAAGATAAAAAACAGATAGTATAATATAACTGTTTTTAAAGGCATACTATGATTCAAACAAAGAAAATTGACAGTGCCTCTATTATATGACGGTTTTGATGAACAAAAAGAAATATGTGGCATCTGTGCTGTCTAATTATATCATAACCTAGTAATTTAAGTGGTCATCTAATAATTAGACAACTTTTGGCTATAGGGTCAATGTATACCTGTGCAATGATAAGGTGGGAATTATAGAACTTTTGTGGTTCAAACCAATTCTTTATTATTTTGTTACAAATATTATAAAATACACATTACAATAATCTAACTTAAGAAGAATTCCAATCTATAATCTAATTTGACATTGTCTACCACTTTTGCATTATCTGACTCCTGGCATATTATTAACCACATGTTGTCATGCATAGATAAAATGAATGTATCTTCTAAAGATTTGAAACTTTCTTCTGTTTTGTACATAAAGAAAATGGTACTTATCTAAGATACTTACCTTAAAAAATCACTATTTGGCTTTAAAATTAGAAACTGCAGAAAACATGCATTTTAAAAATTAAAATGATAGAAATGTCTATCTTTAATATATTAAAAATGTAGATTTTTAATAGTGAGGCAAAAAGCAAGCCAAAAAAGTTTAGTTTATTATTTTTAAATGATTAATTGTTGACCTAGTTCTAGCCATTAATGACATAAATATGAGGTAGGTATTTGAAGTCTTCTGGAGAAAAGTGAAAAGAGTTCAGTCAAGGTACATCTGAGTTTGACCTGAAGCACAGATCTATGAGAATACATGCATATTCAATATTCAATGTTCATATATTCCCAGTGTCAAATTTGAGATTTAATAAAAGAATATGTTCTACCACAGACTCAAATAGACTTGCAAATTGCATAGACTTGTGTCTCATACATATTTAAAAATTTCAAGATGATTCTGGGTTATACTTAATTATTTTCAAAATGTTAGGGTGCTAGGTTTCTTGTGAATATAGTTTCATGTTGCCTCAATCAACTTCTCTCGAAAGTTGAGCATATTCATATGTCAGATACTTATCACCACCACAGACACATGCTGAAATTCAAAGTCTTCTTAAGAGTTCTACTTATGAGAATCTGACTTTCCTGAGAAATTATGATTTCATTTATTTCATCTAATTCTGCAGTTCTACAAACTTCGGGATTCTTTTGATCTTAGAATTCACTCAGTTTGTATTTTTTATTTATTTCATCCACTTGACAGTTTAAACTTAAATGGATTTTTTTGCTTTTGCTCCCTTGGATAAATAAGCAATGTTTTTGTTTTGCTCTTGTAGTTTCAATTTTAGTATTTAAGGTGTCTAATTATACCCATTGGATAGAATGACCTCATCAGCCATTAGGGACCAAAAATTAGTTCAGCTACAAAAAATCTTGATTTAAGAAAGCGATCAGTATCTCTATCAACTTTCTATGACTCTGACTTTTAACTATAGTAGAACAAATATAATTGTAGACCCTATCTCCTATGTATAGTGTACAAAATGGCAGTGACTAGAGGAGTAACCAAGTATTACATTCAAATACTTGGTTACTTCCTCCTCCGTATGGAGTTCTGGGTCTGTTTTGTAAGTTTAGATGAAACTCCTTCAGTATAATTGTTAGCGAGGCAGACCTACAATTCTTTCTCATTTGGACAGATTGAAAATTGTCATCTGTAGGAAATGAACACCAATATCTTTCAAATTACTTGCTGTCATTTGTGCTTTTTATGCTTTCTCCTAATTTGCATATAGTAGATATAGAGATAAGCCTTTTCTTGCTTAAAATATTAATTTAGGCACGCCTCTAAGTCAGGAGGCAATATTTGTTCTATAGGCTATGTTTCAAATCTAAGGATAAGATTGGAGGGTAATTGTGGTTGGATGAATACAGTATTTACTAGAAAGGTTTTGAAATGGCAGAATCAGGATGCTGATTTTAGAATATCACGGCAAGAAAGAGGAAAGTGTGCTAAATAAGAATGGCAAGACAAAGGAGAACAGATAATGTGGAGTAAATGGGGTGATTAGCAAAGATAAAATTAAGCTTTCAAGAAGTGTGCTCAACTCTCAGAGTTACGGGGGATTTTAAGATTGTTTATAGTTTCATGATTCACAGAGGAGCAGAGTTGCACATAGATGTCAAATTGGGCAATATCAGTGATGTTCTATTGCAAATTCGTTTTCTTCTAATATTGATTTTTACCATCACTTTTCTAAACTACCTTCTTTTACCCAAACTGTTTATAGCACACTTAATGAGTATTAATTATAAAACAAAAATTCTTTAATGTGAATTTTGAAATCTGGAAACATTAAGAGAAAAGTTCTGTGGTTATAAATTATTAAATGTGGGTGCTTATAAAAAAGAATATTTGATGAAGAATAAAAATGATTGACAATAAATATTCCAAATTATTGATAATAAATTTTATTATTAGTCTTTTCCAAATTATTCAAAAAATCAATAATGGCATTTCTGGAATAAAAGCTTAACTTTATTTTTATCATTGAATCTCTTTTTAAGTAACCTTTTGCAACAAGTCTACATTTCTTTGGAATATTTAGCTGACACATTTCTGAAAAATGAATACTGCCTGATCAAATGATTAAAAATGCTTATTTCTTTCATTTCCTCACCTGCATACTCTTTGAGAGGAGTGAGAGAATTCATGTGGGTCTGCAAAATTCATGTGCTTATTTATAAAAACTAGTTTGTTTCTAAATAAATTGAGGTTACTAGTACTTTTTTTTTTACTATTTTATTTACTGTTTTACTATGTATTTACTATTTTATTAGTGCTTTATATTTAGAATATACGTTTTGTAAATAATGAGTTGAATATATTTTATCTGAGCAATTAAATTGTTATTAACATTGGCACACTCACAATGACTTTTCTGGTTTTCTTTCAAGGATCCTCTGTTTCATCTGGAATCACACAGATCAGAGCGCGGAAGGGGCAGATGTCCTTTTGACCCCAGTTCCTCCTTCATCTCCACTTTAATTGGTAATTATCATTGCCACAGACATCAGGTGGTAATCGTAATGATTTTTGAAACTTATTTTTCAACTTCAGTTACATTCTTTCAGCATTTCTTTAGCTACTCTTCCTTGTCATATCTACTTTCTGGTGCTCGAAGCAATGATATTAAATTTCAAGCTGTGCTTACTTGAGTAATTTGACTCCAAAAGAAGTGCAGATGCTATGAAGTATGTGTGTCTCATTCTGAAAAAAATTAAAAATCACTTAATACTTGATACAAGACATTTTGTATATTGTATGGTGTCATTTATCACTCACAAAATGCACTTATATAAAGACCTTATAAATATTTTGCCAGAGAAACTAAACTATTTTAAGATATGTTAAATATTTGTGTTTCAATAACTTTGTGATTTTAGAGAACTTTTAATATTCTTACTCATACCTTTCTCTGGTATCAGTAGAATTCAACAGAAAATCATCTCAGTTGAGAACTCCAAATATATTTATCTAAATTTCTGTTACTCTAGAATGTAAACTAGAGCGATTGACCCACTCAAAACTATCACATGTTAAAATAATGGAATAAGTTGACAATGTTTGATCTAGATTCCAATTTGATTTAATTTAATTAGAGGAGGTACCCAAGAGTCTCAGTTAAGACACAGCTAAGTATTTTTCCTTTGTCGTTTATACTATTTGGGGTTGAAAATGGCACACTTGTCAAAGTATTTCAACATTGTGATGGTACAGATAGATAAGTTCCTAAATACAAAACTGAAGAGATCAATCCCTGCCATCTAACATAGATGCTAATTGGAATGTTTTTGTTTGCTCTGTGCTAAGATGTTCTGATGTAGGTATGGTACAGATGTGCAAGGTTCTATTATTACATTTACAATGTTTAGAGCTATATGCTAATACTAGGTCAACTTCTTTGTAAAACACAAGAGAGTATAACATAAGTCATAAGGACTTTGTATTCTAAATAAACCATGAAACGTAAAACTCTTCACTGATGATTAAAATACAATATGCTTGATTTACAACTGATAGAGATGCTGCTGTGTATTCTTGAGGATCTGTGTTCCCTGAACTTATTCCAGACCTTTGATTTTGATGGGCCTTGCATTCCACTTCTACTCCCCCATCTCAGTTCTGGCACTCAGACCTCAAATTCCAATTTTTTAAAAATTAACATAACAAAAATCTCATGTTAGGTCTAACTAATGGCAAAAGTTTGACTTATTGTCAGTTTCATAATTTGATAAGGCTATAAAATGAGATTTTTCATGTAATTAAATTTTTCAGGAGCTTTAATATAGAGGTGCAATATTTTTAAAGAATAAATTATTTTTTAAAATATTAATTTAAAATATTTAATTTTTTCTTACAACTCACCTGTGTGTGTGTATGTTCATGCACATATGCACATATGTGTGTAAAGAGAGTGTAAAAATGGGAGACTTTATGGTGATGAAGTTGCCTAAGACACATTAGACCTTGTAGAAATCAAAACCTTAGGAGTGACGGACACATTTAGTGAATGCCACATCCATAAATGCAAAAAATTTCAGGGAAATTGACAGAATATGAATTCATACATTTGATAGACTCATACAATCTTTTCCAAAGTCTTTAGCTATTTTTGTAACTTTATACATTTAAGGTTTTAATGTCTGAATAAAGAAACTTTCTTCTGTATTTTGTACTATATACTATCTTGCACAGACTAGCCCTTTATAAATATTCAGTGGAATACTAACTCATGTTTCTAAACAAATAAAATATAAAATTTGGAAGTTTAAAAATAAGAATAATATAAAGGGAATTGGAAGTCACAAATTGCACAGTAAACACTGCTTCTATAGGGAAATCTAAGAATATAAGAAAAGATCAATTATTTTTAACATTTCACTTAAATAGTTAAAAATAATTTCTATAGCCATTCTGCCACTCACCAGCCTCCCCAGAGTTTGTTTATGCATGAAGCCAGGAATTTAAAACTGAGTTTTTAAGAGGGGAAATATTACTGGAGGGACATTTCCAAGTGAGTTTCATTGAACTTCTAAATCAAATTACACTATGCTGAAATGTGAAGTGCTTACCATCTGGGTGGCTGTTTCACTTATTCAGAAGAGAAATCAAATCAAAAGAGCCCTCCAAGCCAAACACAAAAGTTATAGAATAATCCCTCCAAAGAGAAGAAATAAAAATATAATTCTTCACATTTATCCACTCACTTTCATCCCAAAGTACCTTGGAGAGATCATTCACTTACTGTGGAAATGCAGCAGCCACTGTATAGAAACCTGATAACCTATGTGAGCCAGAAACTTTTTTAAAGAGGGGAAGTGAAAATAATTCACCCAATTGAAAAAGCAGCAGGAATGCAGACTGGAAAAAACGGTGCTACCTGAGTCGGAATTTGGCAAGCTCAGTACAGCTTACTCTGACAGCGAAAGAATGTATTAATGTGGTGTTTAATGACCACACATGTTCTCTGCTGATCGGTTAAGACAAGACTCCAGCAAAATGATGACTATCTTTAGACCATTGCAGCTCCTTAGTTTCATTGTTAATTATATGTCACACAATATTTAATGTATGTTTGCATGAGAACTAACTTAATGATAAAACACAAATTGATAACAATACCTATAAAACTACAAAGATCTCAAAGGAAGAACGGTGCTTGAAAATCAGATAATTTCCTATATAATTTTTTTAAACATTAGGTACAATTTTAATTCAGTCAACTTAAATTCAGTTGACTTAAAATCGCATGGTATAAGAGTTAGGAAAAAATTGAATAAATATTAAAGATTGATAGGTGGAAGACAAGTTAATAAATATTTTTATTAGATGTATAATCTAATTTAGAAATTAAAAGTTAATAGTTTGTGATTCTATGTGAAAACGATGGGATTTAAGGAAAACAAGTTCCTTATGAGCTATGTTCTATATACTCAGAAACCAATACAAATGAAATCATATATTAATTAGGCTTGCTCTTCAAATGCTACTTTGTAGTAACGTAATTTATCTTGGCAGCATACAAGCTCATATCTCAGGTGCAATATTTCTGCATGTTCAGCCAAGTTTTTCCTCAGTGCAATTAATAATATTGTATTTAAAGTGGTTTTAAGTATTTGAAGAATATAAAGCATTACAACTTGATTAAAAAAAAACAACTTGTTGAAACAACAAATTTTTCAGTAAACTGAATTGCTACATTGCTTCCACATGCATTTCAAATCATCCAAAGATTCTTAGTATTATTTTGCACCAAATTAAATTTGGTGATTGGTCAAATAAAATCCAGGAAATATTTTCTTTATGTCATATGTCATTTTAGCCAAGAAGGAAATATTTTAGCAGACTCTTTTTAATCAGTTATTTTTTGATGCAATATTGCACTATTCTCGTTGATAATCCTTTAGTAACTTTAGGATCCCCCTATACTTAATCTTTTTCAATCCTATTGCTTTTTGAAAAAAATTTTATTATGACTCATAGTTGCATTACCAGTGTCTAGTACAATCTTAACATTCCTGAAGTACCTATGGTATGGGAAGACACATGTTGCTAGTGTTTGGGGAAAAAGCACTCAGGGTTGCCATGTACCTTTTGACATTTTGCTTTGAAAATATTACCTTTGTTGTTAAGAAATTTTTAGAGATATTTTTCAAATTAAAGATTTATTAAATTTTATTTCCACAGATAATCACTAATAAGATATTTTAGTGTCAATGAAATTTTCTTTCTACATTTTTCTATTACTTTTCTCAGCACCTAAAACTACAAAGTTGACAGCCACTGAAATCTTCTTCTGAACTTTTTTCCATAATAAGGCCTTTGAGAATATATAGCCTCACTACAAACTCTGTAAATTAAAAGTCAGTGTTGATTGCATGAAAGGGAGTTGGAATACATGTCAGGAATTCAGTTATTATTTCAAGTTCCTAAAAACATTAAAGTATTTTTAATAAATAATTATTTCTTTTAAATTAACTATATTTATATTCAGGGAATATACTTGGTACAAAGTAAGATCATCTATTAGGAAAATAAATGAAAAAATCTAAATGAAGATAGAACATATGTCTTTATCATTATAACTTCTACAGACACAAGTGAATGTACTGACTCGTTCTTTGAATTCACCCCAAGTGTATAGAAACTTAGACTTTAAGTTATTCCCTTACTACTTTCCTGTCCCTAAAGAATATCTATAACTTCTTATCCAAGACGGCTGCTCAATCACACTTGGCAGAACGCCCGCTATCCACATGCTTACTGAGCTTCTGGTCATGACTGCTAGTCTCTAAGGAGCTATTTGAATACTTTGCTTATGGTTTCTTCACAACGAAAAATAAAAAATCAAAAGAGGTAAAAATAAGCGGGGGGAGCCCTATTCTTCAATTCTCCACTTATGGTCTCTCCCTAAAGGATCTGGTTTAACCATGATTGTATCAACATCACTAATTTGCCACCAAGCAATCTCAGAGTACAGCCATGGGTGCTGGCAAATGCAAATGAACAAATTCAAAACATATTTTTCTTTTTCCTTCATGTCCTCAAAACCACCTCCTTCACACTGACAGCTAATTCTAGTTATTTGCCCAAACAAAGCAACCAAAAGTTCAAACAACAACTAAATACCTAATAAAATCTTACATTCTTTCTGGTTTCTTTCTGCATCCTAAGCAGAATGTGAGTATGAACTGGGATGCTGGAGAACATAATCCGTCTCATCCATCCTCATCCCCCAAAGTACGTTTTCTCTTTGCAGCTATGCATGTCATAATGATTCTGCAAAACAGTCCATCCAAAGTAGATCAATTTTCTAATAAAATTATAAAATTTAGTTATAAAGTGAGGCAGCTAAATCAGTCTTTAACCATAGCTGTTCCATGAGGCAAATGTATTTCATATTATTTAGATTTGTAGAACATACATTCACAATATGAACAGAAGAATTGGTTGAGTAAGACTTAAGAAGATAAAATGGTCATAAAAAA